TTTGTATATAAATCTAATGTATTTTATGTATTTTTAATAAAACTAGGAAATATCACGAACTTATTTTTCATCATCCTAGAGGTACAAGCCATGCAAAACTCTATAAAGAAACAGGATTTGTTCCATTAACTGAACGTCGACGAAGACACAAACTAAAATTATTTTTTAATTTAATCGATTGACTAGATCCCTCTTAATTTCTAACCTTTTTTTAAAGAGAAATCGCCATCTCATCTTAGAAATATTAATAATCTCAATCAGATCAGAGAATGGAACTCACTTAAATCCGAACTACAAAATTCCAATTACGTCTCATCATTCATTTCAAGCTTGATTAAAATAGACCGTAATATTCCACTACTTTTATATTAGAGGTAGAAAAAAAATCAGATAATATATAATAAAATGAGACTAGACTGCAGGGATTTAAATGGTCCTAAGTAGCTGAGACATTTAATGATTAGCCCCTCCTACACTCGTGGACACCGGGGCTGGATTAACAACGGGGCATAGGTCCCAGGACATCCGACATCAGGAAAAGCGATGTGAACATGGTCGGACCGAGGACTACATACATCTGCTAGTGACAGTGATAGGGTCCATGTTTTCTCCCTTTATATGTGTATTACAATGTTTGTGATACTGTAAAAAAAATCCTTAATATGTTACAGTGCTCCTTCCATCCATTGTGGGCTCGTGTTGCGGTTGACATCTGGGAATTCGGTGTAATCAGGCGATACCGCGTCGTCCATTTCTTTATCGTTATCGTATCCTAACGCATCAACCCATCAAATTGCTTATCTCTGCTTATCCTAAGCAGACAATGCTCATCTTCGAACTCCATCAAGGCGTGCATGTAATAAACGCCTACACCAAAGTTTGAACATTCTACCTCAATTAGAAGGAGAGTTATTGTGTTCCAAAGTCTCTACCGATCAAATTGCTTATCGCTCTGCTTACCCAGAGCAAAAAATGCACATTATCAGACTTAGTCTTCGAAAGGCAGGGGACAATAAAATAATGTTTATAACAGAAAGAGCCTAGCCATCGCGTAAAAAATTAGTTACTTTAAGTAGGCCATTGCTTACATTTTCAGTAATCGGGTTTGTCCAAGATTATTCTGAATACGATATTTTTAAAAACTCGATTACATTTATTTACTTGCTGAGATTGACAATAACTCTTTAATTATTACAAAGTTAGTTATAATATAAATAAAACAAAATAATATAAACTAAAGGAACGGACAACTTTATATAAACATAAATGTTTAGTTCTTGATTTAGTTTCAAATAAATTTTATATTTTGCATGTATATATGTTCTGTGCGTACATGCATTAAATGTATTTTTTAATTGGAGAATTGGAGAGGGATCATAGGCCTAGCATGCTCCTCAAAAAACGTCATTTAAAAAAAAAACCACCCTAAATTCAAATATTTCCCATAAATTGTGTATTGATTTTTGATTTTTTTAAAATTATTTTTTTATGAATGATCAGGTCTACTACTTCAATATATATGACTATTAAATTTTCCCAAAAACATTTGAGGCTATGAGGAATTTATTTTGAGACGTAGTTTTTGCTATATGCTAAAACATATACATTTCATGATGCCATATCTCACCCACTGCGGGGCTGAGGACAATTCTATTAATAATGGGAGTTGAGGACTACTAATACTAATATTTGGTTTTGACAAAATGACTGGCACGGATTTCTTTCATATTAAATTTGATGGTCGAACTTGAAGAAAATGACTTCATTTTTGACATCATTTTTACAATAAAATCATTCATTGCCTGCATTATTAGGCCTGATAATGCCCCATGCAACCGCCTTCCAGCAACCCTGTGTAGGGCCGGTACAGATGATTCGGGAGTTCCACAAGGATCAGTCCTTGGATCTGTCCTTTCTATAATGTATACTAAGAATTTGGAACAACTAATCGACAATCATGGTTTCTAGGACGACATTCTTATGCAGATGATACACAGCTGATCGCAAGTTATTCCATTTCAAAAACTGTTTCATTCCCTAATTATTCTGACATCAAATTGTGTACACATGACATTAAAGATAGGAAGACAAGACATGTGTTGAAATTAAATTTAATTGAATTAAGTAAATCAGAATGTATTTTATGTGGTCAAAATACACATCTGAAAAATACAAGTTCAAATGATGTGGTAGTACGAGATGCAATATTTGTACCATGAAACACTGTGAATTTGGTCCAGGAACATTGGCCATATAAACACTTTATTAGCCAGGAAGCAGCTGCTACACTTATATGTTCATTGGTATTCCCAAGGATTGACTACTGTAACAGCTTGTTAGTAGAAACATCTAGTGCCAATGTTAAAAAAAAAACAACTTGTAGAAAATACCGCAGCTCGAATTCTTACCAGATCATCAAAAACACTCTCATATTACTCCTGTTCTGAAGTATCAGTGTGTGAATGGCTTAGCTCAAATACTAACTTTACGCACAGACAAGTTCCCCCGAATAACCTCCGGCCGAACACACATTCATCAGTTTTGTTGCTCAAGGTGGAAATTAATATCATTTAGATACGGATCGTGCTCGGAGAATGCGCCTAAACTTCGTAACAATCTTCCAGAGATCATTAAATCATCTCAAACCCGTTCTTGTTTTACATCAAGACTTATCAAGATTAGTTAAATTAATTTAATTGTATGCGCAGTGGACATGCTTCTGTGCATGGAGTACGTGCGTTATATAAATGTACACATTAATATTATTATTATTGGTCAGGCCGAAGTTAGATTTGCACTCCAGCCTCGAAGATGGCGGATGAAATCAGCTGTTCATTTTCCAGTCTTTTGCACAAATAAAATGCGGTTTAGTAGCCAGTTATCGGAAAGAAACTATAATAGCATGTTCCTGAAGCAATAGCCAGAGAAATGCCGCTCTGGCCATTGCTGAATTGACTTCTGATACTTACGTTTTTGAGGGAATGTGTCTATTCTTCCCGTTCAATCAAATCGCTCCTAAGTAAAGTCTTTCGTTTAATCTGGGGTCTTCCCTAAAACTTTGGACAGTGATTTAAGGTATTACAAAGGGTGAAAGCATTGTTCGTCTCCAAACAGTATTGTTTACATAGTAGACATGTTGATAGCCTCGTTTGTCACGCAATTAGTTTTTTCTGCAATATTCTTCTATGCACTGGTTAATAGTTCGTAATAAATTTCGTGAATCATGACGTAACGTTATGTTAATCTGAAACTCTGTTTAAACCAGAATGATATTGTTACGCAGTTAGGTATTGGTTGTTAATCGGACAATTGACCAGTCATAATTTGGAACAGAAATTTGCTTTCATTACGGCAGTGTTGAGTGGGATTAGGTCTAGTCAAACGAAACACTGCGGGGAGTATGCTAAAATAGTGACCTTACGCTCATATAGAATTTGTTTTTTGTCTTTTTGAAATATCGCTCGATTCGTTGTCAAGTATAGACAGATGTATATGACTAGTACAGTATTTAGTTTTTATGATTTGCTATTCAAAAAGTCATCATCCTTCTACTAGATCATGAGGTTATATTGCCGAATTAATAAAATGTTGACAAATTGTCTAGAGAAATTAATTGTATTTACCAAGAACAGCTATTTTGGCATTTACAGTAAATTAAGCTTTTCAAACTTCATCGTTTGAAAATTTTAACGGTGTAATTTTGAGTTCAGTTTTTGTGATTAGATACTTATTGGATAGATAGATAGATAGATAGCGCTAGCTAGATAGATAGATAGATGGATAGGAAGAAGTATTTGTCGTTTTGATAATGGAACATTTTTTAAACTTGACTTTTTTGATAAGTATATAATCTGCGTTTATATTTATTTGTTTATTTCTATTTTTATTATGGCTTGCTCTTAATGGAACTGGAATCCACGTTAATTTGGTTTCAGGTGCCATGTTACACTTTTCAGTGTGTAAATAAAGCGGTTTATTTTTCGTCATTTTTGTTGAAAAATCGTTATTTTTGTACAAAAATGGAAATTATTTACTACTAAACGGGTCGAGTGCCACCGAATTTTATTCTTGATCTTAATACTATAGATCATTGCCTTTTCAGTTAGCATTCCAAAAAAATACTTAAACCCGCAGTGGGTGAGATATAGATAGAATAAAATGACATACATAACTTGAGCTATTTTGGAACCTTGCAGCAATAAGTCCCTATACCAAAAACCGCTCCATGAAAATCCATCAAACTTTCAGAATGTATACTCACTAACCATATCTGCTACGCTATAAAGTTTCATTAATCTACTCGCCGTGGTTTAGTTGTACGAAATAATTGAAAAGTGGCATGAAAATGATGATTTTTTGGCTTTTTTGGCCTTAAAATTTCAATTTTTTTTTCTACGCTCTAAAAATGGTTCGATTGATCTAAAATTGTGGCAGTGGGGTTTGGAGGGGTTACCCATCATACATAAAAAAAATGGTGAAAATCGGTCACCCACCATGTGCCGGTCCCTGCATGGTTCTCTCGCAAACGCATTCTTAATAACTTTAAGTAGGCCATTGCTTACATTTTCAGTAATCAGATGTGTCCTAGATTATTCTGAATACGATATTTTTTTAAAAAATTCATTACATTTATTTACTTGCTGAGATTGACAATAACTCTTTAATTATTAAAAAGTTAGCTATGCCACATTTTAATTTTTCAATGAGGCAGTCAGACACTATATGTTCACAACATTACTAAATGGAGTAACTTTTATGTGTCAATTTTCGTTAGTGTGTTAAAATTCAACAGACGTGATAAGTCAGCTGTCATCAAAATGTCACAAGCTTCGCTTCATTTGATATTTAAATAAGTCCGTCATTGCCCTGGTTTACACTCTTTTAACTATCTAAGCATGTAACATATATATTTAAAATAGAACAGAACCTATACAGGAGGATCAGTTATATGTTCTACTTTCTATTACAATAATACAATATGGGAGTGGTTATAAACTTACCAACACAAATTCCTGTTCGACGATCTGGTAAATAGCCTTGCAGACAAATACATCGTCCTTTTGTTGAACACCTTTCATAATTATTCACATCACATTCATCATTAAACCCAGGTTCACATCTGGTTAAATTAAGCTGGTGATCATCAGGTAAAAAAGCGGTCATATCCACTCTCCCGGAATTCCCATTACGAGGTTTTGCTACATCCTCATTTTGAGCACTGGCGGTAAAATCATTGGCCGCTGCCGCATTACCCGTCACCGCGGGTTCGTCTGCAATTGTCTCTTCTCGCACAACTTCTGCCTGTTTTTTCTCAGCTCGAGCCATAGAAGCAGAATGTGAGATTACATCTGTAGTGAATGCTTCTGTATGAAGCTTAAAATCTGAAATATATCTTGCTCGGGCTTTTTCTCGTCTTTTGTTTGGGGTTCTATTGGAGGTTCTTGAAGCAATTTGAGCTGGTGAAAGCGGAACTCGTTTTAAAATCACAGATTTGATAGTAGTTATTGTTCCAACTGATTCTATGGGTATGCCTTTGGTTTTCATTTTACTTGTAACTAGTTTAGCTGTTTTCGCTTCCAATGTGCTTGGTGTTGTTGGTGTAGTTAGTGTCGTTTGTGTAGTTGGTTTTGTTTGTGTGGTTTGTGTTGTTGGTGTAGTTTGGGTGGTTGGGGTTGCCTGGATGGTTGCCTTTTTTGTAATGTTGGGTGTTTGGGTAGTTTTGAGTGTTGGTGTTGCTGGTGTAACTGGAGTTGTCGGTGTGGTGGATAAAGTTTGGTTTGTAGACGCGGTAGGACTGGTAAATGTTTTTATCTGTATTTTTGTGATAGTAGGGGTGATTTTAGTTACACGTGCAGGTGCGGTGAATGAAGTTGTTGCCTTTTTTGTTGTTGTTTCGAACAATGATGTTGATGGTACAGGCTTTGTTGTTTTTTTAACATCTGATTTTTTTGCTGACGATAACGCTAGCCCTGCTTGAATAATAATTGGCGGTGTCTTTTTCAATTTATCAACTGTTGGCATAGTAACGTCTGCTAGTGCTCTCATGGATGACTTTGTATTCCACTGAACCAGTCTTGTAACGTCTGTAGAAAATGCTGTTATCTGTTTAGTAGTCATGATAGTTGCTTTTACTGGTGGTGTTTTTATCTGACTTACAGCTCCTACAAAATATAATATTAAGAAAATTGTACATTGGTATAAAAAAGCAAACAAAACACTTAAACATATTTGCATATAAAACTATTCAGGCGAAGCGGATACATTATGTTTTTCTCAATATGAACAACGAGTTTTCATATTTTTAAACCGACTATATAAAAATGTGCACATGCACTCAAACAATGAGTAAATATAAGTTCTGTTGTCAAATTTGCAAAAGGTTTGGTGTCGGTATTATTTCTCCATGAATCAAGATTAAAAACCAAAATTTCTAGAAGTATAACTGAGGCCCATCTAAAGGTTTCTATTTCTCGATACCCAATTCTATTAACCCATTAAAACATCTCACTAAACTACACAATTACAATACGACTCACACACTGGACACTACATCTTGGCGAGGTTCCAAGACACTAAGCTAACATAACAACATACACACACCATAACTTACATAAACTTTATTTACAAATATACAACTATAAATTAATAAATTTCACCCTACTACACTATACCCCACCCCGAAAGGTGGCGTCCCGACACTTACTAACAACAACCCAACTAAAATAAACTATACACATACTCTCATATAAGGAGAAATTCAAAAATCAAAATCCAAGGACAATCCAAATCAAACTATATTCATAATCAAAATCCTTAAACGGTCCAAATCAAATAAATGTAAACAACTGTGTCTGATCCAAGTTCCTAAAATTAGAAATTACATCCGGATATAAGTTACAGAAAAGCTGAAATAACGGCATGGTAGTTTAGCATCTCAAACTTTAAATGTATAATATGAAAATAACAATAGCCAATACCATCGGAAATTATATCTTACCACTATTTCATAAAAGCCACGTATCTTCTAATAATGAAACTGAAATTGACTATCGATGTCACTGTCAGGGAACTATGGGGCAACTTTACAGATACATCTATAATAGAATCCCTGTGCTCATCATCAGAAAACAGAATTAGATTATCTTCATAATTATTATCATCATTATAACTATTATTTTCATCATAATCGAACTGAATCAAAATTTCACTATCAGACAGCTTCGTAGTAGAACTTCCACTAACCGGTACAATAGGAATAGTACTATCCTTGTTACAAAGGTCGTCATGAATTATCGATGTATCCAAACGTGGCTTAGGAACAGGAACTAATGGAACAAACGAGCGTGGTTTTGGAATGGAATACACAGAGGTCAGTGAAGGGGTTGAAACATGTTACTGGTGTAGAAGAAATTGGTTGAGCGACTGAAGAAATTAGAAGTAGAAGATTTCTGTGTAGAGTGCGTCTTTCTGAACTGTTATTTCCCTGAACTGTAAAAACTTGAACACTGATATTCGGTTGCGAAATGATGGCATAGTAGTCATTCTCCCATTTGTCTGCTAACTTATTCTTGCCTCTTATTTGGATATTTTTCACTAAAACAATATCTCCCACAATATAACAATATAACCCTGCACCGCGTACCTTTGAATCATATATTTAATTTTTGCTGAACTTGTACTCAATTGATGATATCGATTGCAATTGTTTTAACTGTATTTAATTAATGTTTTAAATCTAGTAAATTGAGAATAAGATTTCTGAGAAGGCCGAGATGAAATTGAATTGCCAAGAATTATATCTGCTGGTACCCTAGGGGTTCTACCAAACATCAAGAAAAATGGAGAAAATGAAGTTGAATCATGAATTATAAATAAAAACTAAATACTGTACATAATATTTTCAGTTTTTCTTCTGTTCTTCTGACAATGTCTCAAGCATATTAAGAAGCGTACGATTACAACGTCCACAGAGACCATTGCCCGTGGGATGATATAGAGCTGTGCGGATTTTTGAATACCAAAAATAGAACAGATTTTTTTGATGATGTTACTTTCGAAGTTGCGTCCTTTTGATCTGAATGTAGTTGGGAAGGAATTCCATAGGGCAAAAAAGAAAAAAAAAAGAAAGAGATAAATTAAGGCTATAGCAATAGATTTAGCAGTTTGATTTCTGGTAGGTATGGCAACAGCAAACTTAGTGAAATGATCAGTAATTATAAGAATATTTTCAATATTATCTTTGGATGGATCAAGTGAAAAAAAAGTTGAAGTGGCTCAGAAGTATTACTATTTCCGGGGGGTGGGGGCTCTAATATTCAAATGAGGGTTTTTTCGACGAGTACAGCGATCACAAGAATGGGCGATTTTACTAAATCCAATGTACGATCTCGACCCATATGATCCATTTCATCATATAACAAATATAAAATCTTAGAATGAAGCGAAGTCGGTAAAACAATCTGAAGAATGATATCATAAGAATCTGGTGAGTTAAACTTTCTACATAAAATGCCATCTTTTAAAACTAAGTTATCCCAATGACGAAAATTGCAGCAAATTCTTTGTCATTATAACACAGAAAAACATCAGAGGGTTCACATCAACATTTTACAAAATGAATAATATTTTGAATTCCTAAACAATCATTTTGAGGCTTTCTGATGAGAGAATTGTCAAGTAAATTTGTAGATTCAATGGGAACATCCAGAATTGGACATAAAAACAATTAATAACATCCTGATTTAAAGAAATAGTCTCAATTTTACCTACATTAACCTAATGAAAATTTGTTATAGCAGAAATGAAATGTTGTTTAATGGCACGTCAGCTCCAACCAGGCTATATTACGTCAAACATATGGTGAATTTAACGAGACAAATTAAAACAATATCACAGGGATGTATTCATATATGTAAATAAAAACAAATATCACAGAAAATATAATTAAAAATAAATATATCAATTTCTAAGAAGTTTTTAATGAAGATAGGTAAGCGACCCCGCAGACCGAGGTTATGCAGGTCGCGCATGATACCATATTTCCACGTGGTATCATATGCTTTCTCCAGATCGAAAAATATAGCAACCAGATGTTGTTTCTGGATGAAAGCATCCCTGACAGGCAGTGTGAAGTTGGATCGTTTTTCATTATTCACCAATAACGAATAACGAATAACGAGGTGGATCACCTCGTTATTCGCGAGTAACGAGGAATAAGCCACCTCGTTATTCGTTATTCAGCTTTTTATTCGTGATTCAAATATCCAGCTAGCCATAACTAGAATGACGGATGTCAAGTATCCCCCAGTAGTATAAAAGACAGTAAAACGACTTCTAGACGAAAACAGCGAATAACGAGCTGTTTGTTATTCGTTTTTCACCTCGTTATTCGGGATTCACATATGAAGGGGTTCATGCATCTTTAATGAGGATAATTCAGGATTTAATTCAAAACAATCACTATAAAACAATAGAATAATGGATTGTAAAGTATCCCCGAGCAGCAGAAAACATATTTGTTATTCGTTTTTCACCTCGTTATTCGGGATTCGCATATGAAGGTGTTCATGTATCTTTAATGAGAATATTTCAGGTTTTAATTCAAATCGATCACTAGTTAACAATAGAATACTGGATTGCAAAGTATCCCCTAGCAGTAGAAAAGTCATTAAATGACGTATAGTCGGTAAATAAACCAGATTGTTATTCAAGCGTTGAATAACGAATAACGAGCTGTTTGTTATTCGTTTTTCACCTTGTTATTCGGGATTCACATACAATGTGTTCATGTATCTTTAATGAAGATATTTCAGGATTTAATTCTAAACGATGATTAGACAACAATGGGATAATGGATTGCAAAGTATCCCCTAGCAATAGAAAACATATTAAATGACGTATAGTCGGTAAATAAACCAGATTGTTATTCAAGCGGTGAAAAACGTTAACGAGTTGTTTGTTATTCTTTTTTCACCTCGTTATTCGGGATTCACATATGACGGGGTTCTTTAATGAGGATAATTCAGAATATAATTCAAAACGATCACAATACAACAATAGAATAATGGATTTCAAAGTATCCACTAGCAGTAGAAAATACATTAAATGACATATAGTCGGAAAATAAACCAGATTGTTATTTAAGCGGTGAATAACGAATAACGAGCTGTTTATTATTCGTTTTCCACCTCGTTATTCGGGATTCACATATGAAGGGGTTCATGCATCTTTAATGAGGATAATTAAGGATGTAATTCAAAACGATCACTATGCAATAATAAAATAATGGATTGTAAAGTATCCCCTAGAAGTGGAAAACCCATTAGTAGACGTATAGTCGGTAAATAAACCAGATTGTTATTCAAGCGGTGAATAACGAATAACTAATAACGAGCTGTTTGTTATTCGTTTTTCACCTCGTTATTCGGGATTCACATATGAAGTGGTTCATGCATCTTTAATGAGGATAATTCAGGATTTAATTCAAAACGATCACTATACAACGATAGAATAATGGAATTTTAAGTATCCCCTAGCAGTAGAAAACATATTAAATGACGTATAGTCGATAAATAAACAAGATTGTTTTTAAAGCGGTGAATAAGGAATAACGAATAAATTAAATCCTGAATTATCCTCATTAAAGATGCATGAACCCCGTCATATGTGAATTCCGAATAACGAGGTGAAAAACGAATAACAAACAGCTCGTTATTCGCTGTTTCGTCTAGAAGTCGTTTTACTGTCTTTTATACTACTGGGGGATACTTGACATCCATCATTCTAGTCATGGCTAGCTGCATATTTGAATCACGAATAAAAAGCTGAATAACGAATAACGAATAACGATCACCTCGTTATTCGCGAATAACGAAGTGATCCACCTCGTTATTCGTTAATGGTGAATAACGAATAACGAAAAACGATCCAACTTCACACTGCCTCCCTGACAAACGTTTCAAATCTAACGAGATGATCAAGAGTGCTCCTTTGGGACCGAAATCCACATTGGAGATCTGTAATGAGGTTGTTGGACTCAAGGTACCAAACAAGCCTTCGATTGATCAATCTCTCCATGCTTTTGCAAATGCAGCTAGTTTAAGCGATCGGGCGATAATTGGTAGGATTCGTAAGATCTTTACCCGGTTTAGGGATGGGAATT